TATGGTAAAAAGCTGCCGCCGTAAAGTTGCGCCGCCGATGATTCTGTGGCAGTGGAAGTGTACGGCGGGGGGTCGTACGCCAAACAACTATCATAGTGGATATGTGCGGCGGGATGGCCTATGGTAAAAAGCCGCCGCCGTAAAGTTGCACCCCTGATAATTCTGTGGCAGTGGAAGTGTATGGCGGGGGGTCGTACACCAAACAACCATCGTGGTGGATATGTACGGCGGGATGGCCTATGGTAAAAAGCTGCCGCCGTAAAGTTGCGCCGCCGATGATTCTGTGGCAGTGGAAGTGTACGGCGGGGGGTCGTATGCCAAACAACCATCGTCGTGGATATGCACGACGTGATGGCCTATGGTAAAAAGCTCCTGCGGTGAGATCGTACCACCAATGATTCTGCAGTGGAAATATTCTACGGCGGTGGGGTCATACGTGTACCCCAAACAACTATTGTGGTAGACATGTATGGCGAGGTGGCCTACGGTAAAACGCTCCCGCAGTGAATTCGTATTGTCAATGATTCTGTGGCGGCAGCATTGTACGGCGGTGGGGACGTACGCCAAACAACTATCATGGTGGGCATGTACGGCGGGGTGAAAAGGCTGCCGGAACAGAATTGGGCTGCTGATAATTCTGTGGCGGTGGAGGTATACAGCGGTGAGGTAGTACGACATACGGCGGATAGCGATCGTGGACTTGTACAGTGGGGTGCCCATTGGGGTTTGTACGATAAGGATATGCCGAAAGGGGAAGGAACTATATCCAGCACAGATGTGGATCATTTGTAGACTCTCATGGTTCTGGACCTATATAGTAAAAGCACGGTCAATGAGGTGATATCATTCCTGGTAGGGACGCACCTCACGGGTAGGCCGACCAGAACTAGCCTTCTGATCTCTACATCTCTTTTACTTGTGATAACGTTGCGTTTATACAGATCTGTCCCCCAAGCCTGGCGCCAGAGTAAGGTTGGGTGAAAGGGAACTCGCGTTTGGGCGCAACTTGCCTTGTGACCTGTACGACCAATCTTATTCCTGCCTGATTTCGATGCGGCGAACCCATAAAAAAGAAAATTTGGCCATAAGTGGTTTATCACGGGTTTTAATGGTGAAGACCGTCTCCTTTGGGGCTCTTACCCGGGTATAAAGATCGTAGGTTGCCCCCCTTTGGATCGATGGGCGATATAACTCATCTTCCACACATCTCAACCATGTCTAGCGATGACCTTGATGGACGTGTTCTCATTCCACTTCTTGTGGTATGTATCTCTCTAATAGCGCAACCGACGAGACCTTGATACTCTTCCTAGCCAAGCGAAGAACCCGAAACTATCTCAGAGTGGGCCGCCAATCTTCTCTCTTGCGTTGAAGACGAGGGAAACTACCCTGAAGACGATGAAGATATTCTCGATGCTGCTACTCCTTTCACCTTGTTCTCTATTTTCCAAGAGTCGGCGTCCTCTTATGCACTGGTGGTACAAGACGACTCAGCTATTGATGCGGCTGTAGTTTCTATGTGGGGAATGTTGGAGACGATGGAGAAGGACGCATGGGCAGAGCTTTTGGACGACCTTCGTATTCATTTCCAGGAGGTCTGTGCGTTCTCCCATGCCCTGGCTACTTGCAACGACAAGAGGCGCTCAGCAGCTCTACTCAATCAAAAGACGATCTCAATAGACAACTTCAAATCCAAGCTCTTTGATAAGCTCGAGCACTGCAAGATTCCTAAGCGTGGTAAGAAGTTGGGACAAGGTACTCGGAAGCGGAAACTCGTTTCGTCCTTTAGTAAAATTGCCTCGGTGTGTTTCTCATCGTAGCAAACCGCATAAAATATATTCTTACTCTTTATCGACTCTATTCAGCTTACAACCAAGGTAATGTAGCCCTGCCTCCGATGCAGTATTGGTTCTGATTCCTCCAAGGAAACTGCAAACAAGCTAGGCTCCAGCTTCTGTCAAGATTTTGACACGATTTGCATAGCTAGCGACCCCGAGAGCGATGAAGAGATGGAAATAATACCACTCGAGCCCAAAAGTACGACCTCCCGTACCAATCACTTCAATTCGGTATTTGAATCCGAGTCTCCCGGCTCTTCTCATGTCGATAAGAGCTATGAGTCTCAACGATCCACCTATGACTTACCATCTTCCAACACAAATGGAGACATTACCTCGAAAGCGCATAGTGCTGAAGCTCGATCCACCGGTCACAATATCACCACCTCTACGACGATTCCACCGCCTCCCTGGAGCGAAATTGGTGCTTCTAAGCCATCTCTCCCTGAAGTTCAGACTGTCAGCACCGATCTTGCCATGTCTGTGACAAATCCTCCATCTTCCTGGGGTGAAACCGGTGCTTCTAAAGCGACCAGCTCTGACACTCGGGCCGTCGGCACTGATCCTGCCACCTCTGCGATCAATCCTACATCTTGCTGGGGCCTACCATTCGCTAACCCCAACTCTTTCTCGGTTTCCAACGGTAATATGCGTCCCGCTCTAGAATGGATGCAAGCGCCTATCTTGAATAGTACAATATCTCCTGTATCCTCTTTTGGGACGAATGCATTTTTTCCCAGTAATCTCACGAACCCTCAACCCCCTTCCAATTTCCTTCTCAATACGCCACAAGGGCGTGCATTTGCCCAGTTCCTTGGTATGCCCCAGACATTCCCTGATCCCTCATTCTATCCATCCCAAATTGGCATGTCTACATGAGAATCCCAAGACTGTCCTTTAGTCCATAACGCAGTTATGCTTACCCGACTATACAAATGGCCTGCTGAATTGTCAGCGACTTCGTGAATAAGAAATTTTGATTGGCACGTCACTTTGAATTAGCCCTCGCATGAGCAATCGCCCGGCTCCCTCTGCCGTATCATCTCTTACCCTCTTCCTTGTATGTACAATTTTATCTTGTGCCGACCTTTTTGGTGATTTGCTTATCGATGTCCTGTTTAGGTACGGGTCCCTTTTCTCTCTTGCACATAAATCCTTGACTCGATTTCAAGTGTCCTTCCCCAACCTACGCCTCATCCCCTCACTTTACCACTGCTACTTTCTGACTCATTTTCAAGCCTTAGTTTTCGAGCGGTTATACTCTGGAGGACAAGGGGAGGTTGCAGGGAGGAACGTGCCACAAGGGCGAGAGTAGCAATTGCCAGCCAGAGCTGCAACCTTGATTCGCAGAGGCACCTTGCTCCTATAACTCGTCAACTGAGTGGATATATTAGAGTGAAAATCGGGAAATAGCAGGCGACCCACCGAATATATGTGCCTATTTTTTGTACATCCTCCGATGTCTGTCCAAACGGCAGGTGCTTCCTCTGTGTTGAACAAGGATGCAACTTCATGTAATGTGCGCATGGGAAGTGCGGCCCCAGTGTTGGGATCGATAAGTTCAGTAGCGACGATTATATCAAGGGCAGCTGGAAGGTGCTCAGCTGCGATTTGGGAAATGATGAGGAGATCCA